CGGTTATCGATACTGAAATTAGAATCGACGAACCGAGTTCAAATTCCGGCCTCGCCTTTTATGTTCAACTTCACGAAAATGCCGGTGTAGAAAGCAATAATCTATCTCTTCTTAAATAGCAACGTAAAGTCGACTTGGGTGGCAACCAATTTAAGAGAAGGAAAATTTCTAAATTCCAACCCGTGGAGACGATAACGAGAAACCATTCCAATATTATGGCATGGATAATAAAGAAAAGGAATCTGTGGAGAGCCATCATCGACTACATCTTAAAGAAACATGGTATTATCAACGAATTAAATTATTGTTGAGAGTTTATTGAACGAATTAGATTATTGTTAAGGGTTTATTAAAACTAATTCTAATGGAGAAGTTTATTTCTGGCGTCGGAATTTTAAAGTTTTTAAAAATTATTTCATCCCAAGCAAGGTGATAAAGCCACTAAGACGCAAAGAGTTACCAATGATGGAAGACAATAGAGTGAAGGAAACTGGGAAAGCATTACTGGGAAGAAAGGACAATAAAAAGAATATCATTCAAAGAGTCAAGAGACTATGATTGAAGTTGTATTTAAACTTTTGTAGCTGAAAGGAAAGCAAGAAGCTGGAATAAAGTTTCATGAGTGAAAAATGAGAGAGAAGAAACTATTCGAATAGAACGTACGGTTACATTTAGCAATTTCAACAGTAAAATTACGAGACCTCACTTCCAATCTTGTACAGCGCTTAAATTCATAAAATCGAAGTACGAAAGAAGAAAGCTTATCAGAACAATTGCCATGAAAATATTTATAGAAAAGGCAGAGGGAAGCTACGTTACGACGGTGAGGAAGTGATCGAAGCTGAGATGCCAGGTTAGGACCGATAATGTTACATATTACGGCTATTTCAATTCATGTAAATTCTGATAATGTTATACAATTGCGGTTTTCATATTTGAATTGATGGGCGTTAATGTTCTCGTGGCAAGCGCCTGATCCCTCTTCGGTGCCTCCGTGGTACTTATTGAGGTAAAGTGGACCTGAACAAAATAAAAGGCTCTCTGGCATGGGTCCCGCAGTTCAATTGTACAAAAACCACCGGGTTTTTACTTTATTTTGTGTCCGAAATCATACAATTTGTGATAATAATTATTGATAATTTGACGGAAATTTTTTCTTTATATTACTATTTGTACCTGCTGAGTTCTCACGTCAGTAATAATTGGTGGCTTTCATTGAAGACCAAGTGACAGTAAGTCCCTTCATTAGTCTAGTACATTCCTCAGTATTCTTGGTGATTTGAATAAATTGGATAGTTGCGAGTCTTGTTCAGATATCCAGTTGTTCTAATAAACTTTGATATTTTATTTACTATTTATTTATTTATTATCTATAGGAGTAGATAGGTTTGCCTATCGTCCTGTTCACACTCCTCCCCGGTCATTTGAACAGGAGTAGAGGTTTATCCATTGTTTCTTGTTTAGGATTGTGCTTCTGGTTCCTTCTAAAGTCTACTTCAACTCTCTACTTCTAACGTCTCCGCCAAACTTTGAAATTTTATTTACTATTTATATATTTACTTTTCCTCAGTAAGAGTAGATAGGTTTGCCTATAGTCCGGTTTACACTTCCTCCCCGATCTTTTGAATAGAAGTAGAAGTTTATCCCTTATTTCCTGTTTAGGATTGGATTTCCGGTTCCTTTTAAAGTCTTTTAATTTTCTTTCACTCTCAGTAATCCCTTGCGATTTAATCGCATTATTGCCTTGATTGGGGTGAATTGATTAAAAAAATATCTTCAGTTTTTTTAACAGTGAGATTTGCTGGAACAGTGGTATTTACTATCTGGCAGTTCTTTTTTTCTTTGTTCACAATGACTAAATCCTGTTTTCTGGTCTGGACTGGGAGATCCATTTGCATTTGAAGGTTTCATCGAAGTTTTACATTATACTCTTCTCTCAGAAAACTTCAGATATTTGTCTAATGTTCTTGATTTGTATGATTAAGATTTATTTATTAAGTCTTCAGGGCTGTTCCAAGTGCTCAAGTAACGACGAATCAAACAGTCATATTCCACATTTTTCCACTTCTCTGGAAAGATCCAGATATTTGTTCTTTTGATTGGCATAGTTCCCAGAGAATCGCCGTTCCTAACCTGTCATGCTTCTTTTTATACATTTTAGTTCATAATAATAATAATAATAATAATAAATGAATAAAATTAAATGTTCACTTATCTTGTCTCTGCTATAACTTTAGCGGTCTTACATCCACTTTTCAGGAGAATTGCTTATAAAATATTTTGTAAATGGTTTGAAGATTACATTGAAGTGTGAAATTGACACTCACCATGCAGTATTGATTCCAATGTCCACATTGTTTATATCTATAAAAACTATTTCTGAAATTTAGTAATCTCCTCCTTATAAATATAACAAATAACTACACACACATATATATATATATATGCATATATATATATATATATATATATATATATATATATATATATATATATATATATATATATATATATATATGTATGTATATATATGCATTTATATACCTGTACAGACACACATGGAGAAATATAGATACTGATAAACAGGAAAAGTTAGGTAAATAAAAGAAATGATTTTAAACAGACTTCGAGAGATAGCTATGGACTGATATATATATATATATATATATATATATATATATATATATATGTATGTGTGTGTGTGTGTGTGTGTGTGTGTGTGTGTGTGTGTATGTATATGTGCAGAGAAATAGAGAGAGAAAGGGAGTAAAATGATGAATGTTAATTGATTGCAATCAAGTTCTGAAACACAGGCTGTATGTTAGTCTGTTTGATAAGCGTGTGTCCATGAAGCGATGAATGGCAGGTGAGGTAGGCAGACAGATTTATAATGAAAGCAATTTGTGAACAAAAAACTTGTGAAGCGTAACCAGGCATGACTTAGGACCATAACAATCGCTTAAACTCGAGCGTAACGACCACGTGGTCAACCGCAAGAGGCGGGTCCGTACGTTTTTACCGCGTTCTGACGTCATTTTGTTCTTATCGCTCTGCCCACTTCTCGCTTATCACTGATTTTGCGGGTACTTAACCGACAAATTGAAAAATAAATAAATATAAAAAAAGAAATGAAAGAAGAAAGAAACAAAAAAGAAGTGTGTGTAAAAGGCATATATGTGTTTGCGTTTGTATGTGCATGTTGAGGTAAGTAAAGAAAGAGAGAAAAAGGATATGCGACTTGAACGACAATAGCAGAGAAAGAACATATGAGCAAATAAGCAAAATAACTTTAAAGAAAGAAACAAACAAAAATAAAGGAAAAATTAAAAAGAAGAAAAAGAGAGAACGTGATGGAGAAAATAAAGATGTGAAAGAAAAGCGAAAAAAACAAAAACAAAAACGAAAAAAACAATACAGAGAATTGAAAGAAATACAGACTGAGAAATAAAGAAAAAGTGAGTGGGAAAAGGAAGGAAATAACGAAAGAAAATTAATCATAAAGCAAGGGGTTAAAAATGAGAGAATTAAAAAAAAGAAAAGAGTGAAAAAAAGAAAAGAAAGAAAAAGTATTGCAAAAATCTCCCAAACGTTTACAAAAATGACGTAACGCATGACTGACTCAGGCCATGCGTTCACCAGAGCGGGACCCGCCCGTAGCTACAGCGAAAACAAGATGTGGGTGGAAAACAAAACAAATTATTTTATTTAAGCTTCATTGATTCAATTCTCTTTGTACAACCACACTGGCGTTTATAAATGTTTTTTTTGAAGCCATCGTTGTGTAGCAAAAATGTGCTTCACATAGTATATATATATATATATATATATATATATATATATATATATATATATATATATAATACTGGCATAAATCAATTGAAAACCGTTTTTGCAAGGCCTCAGGTTCACAGTGAGGATCTTACACCTTACATTTTTTCATTGGAACATTTTCAGATAAATAAATATATTCGTGGTTCGATAATTGTTGTTTAATATTCAAGCACTGATAAAAAAAAAAAAAAACATAATATAAACAAGACTAGTGACTTACCCCCCCTCTTCATCGCGTATCATTTACAGATTTTTAAATATAGATTTTTATGATTATTAAATTTTTATGTCATGGGGTGCGTTTTTTTAGGTCCCCACTGAGTGTATGCGGCATTATGGTATATGGAGGATTGAATGATGATGGAGGAGTTCTTATGGTGGATGTGCAATTTATAAGGAGTGAATGGGTCGTGAATTGGATTAGCTAGATATAAGATAGTCAATGAAGAACAGCCTCAATCCATTCCTCCTTTTTTGGTTTAAATCTCAACAAGACTAGTGACTTTTAGCAATTCAGGAATGCTGTTCTCCTGAAAACTTACAATGTGATGTTCACAGCATGTTGCATTTGTAGTATGTTTCACTCCAGATCATGTCAGAAGAGACTTTACACTCAGTGTCTTTTAGAGAAGCCAGCTGCAGGATTGACCAGACAGATAACCGCCGATTGCAGACCCATCTGGTAAATATACAAACACTAATTCGAGAGGCAGGAAGAACAGTCTCTCTGATACATCGCAGACAAGAATGCAAGGACTAAGACTGGATGAAGGTCTGGGGCGGCGGCATGCACACTCATACATAGGCCGACGGTAATAGATGAAATGCAAAGTTGAATAAAGTGTAATGATGCGTATGACAGACTCAGTTTCGTATAAGTTGAGGAAGCAACCATTTTTCCATTTCTATTTAAATCATTTCTTTTCTTTTTAGGAATTCCAAAATATTCTAAGGTGATAAAATCTTTTGGCATGATTTACAAAACCATTTCTTTGAAAGCAAGAGAATTTTAACACAATTATATTATATGCTAATTATTTTTTGTTGATTTTAAAAACTTGACAACAAAGGTTGGTATTCCTCCTCTCATCTTTGAAGTTATTTACCGTTTTAAGAACGATTTTTGTTTAATGCGCAAAATCTCGTGAAATCTCACACAAATCTCATTCATGTGTTTCTTTTATTCTTCTTTCGATTTTTCGACAGATCACTTTGAAGGTGACTTATATGGATCAGTGAAGATGACGTTAACAGACAACAGCAAATACCCGGTGTCCAGTCAACCGCCTCTTGGACCCGTTGGTAGCCAAGCGAACGCTGCCGTTTCTGTAGCAGCAGGGACTCATGCCAATGCTAACAAAGAAGCCGTCCATCACTGGGATATCAACGATTCCATGTTGCCTATGGTAAGTTATATTTCTTTCTTTCTTTCTTTCTTTCTTTCACATTTGCAAATATGCCTCTCTTAAGATATTGAATAGCAATAGTTCAGTCAGTGGCTATTGGCCTTGATACTTGTAAAATCAACAGGTAATTCATTGTAATATTCTTTTCTTTTCAGGTGTCTCGTTTTGATGCCTTCCAGGAATGGCCGAATGGTCACTGTCGATTTGTCTATAGCGTCGAGTTAGATGAAGCTCGACGACACGCCAGTGGTTGGGCAATGCGCAACACCAACAATCATAATGTTCACATACTCAAAAAGTCATGCCTTGGCGTCCTCGTTTGCAGTCTGGACTGCTCAGCTCCGGATACTGGTGACAAAGTTCATTTACGCCCGGCCATTTGTGACAAAGCTCGCCGCAAGCAAATTGGTAAACCTTGTCCGAATTCGAAATGTGCTGGTCATTTAGAGTTGCTTTCGTGCCGAGGTCATTGTGGTTATCCTGTGACTCATTTTTGGAGACACGTTAGTGGTGCTATTTATTTCCAGGCAAAAGGCGTTCATGATCATCCAAGACCAGAAGTCAAAGCCTCGGCCGAAGCAAGGCGACAGCATCAGAATTCCAAGCAGCAGAAACGATTACAGGTAAGAACTTCTGATTTCATTCTTCTCATAATCTTTGCTCATTCTGCAATTTGAAATAATAAAAAATGAATCTGTCGAAAATCACGTCCCTTTTGACACGTAATATTTGATTAGTAGAACATATTTACAAAAGTCTCTCTCCCAACACACACACACACACACACACACACACATATATATATATATATTTATTGTGCAATGTTACATTAGAACATGCACATACCCACTACAAAACTATATCTTGTTTCAACGTTAAAAAAAACGAAAACTTTTTTAAACGATGCAGTCGCATCGTGATTCCCCACCTGATGAAACATTAAAAAAAAGGTTTCGTTTTTTTTTTTTACGTTAAAACAAGATGTACAATTTTGTAGTGGGTATGTGCATATTCTAATGTAACACTGCATAATAGATAAATATTTACGGCTCTACTTTTGTATTAAGCTCTGTTTTAAATTAATGTTTTCAACGTTACATTCTTTCTAACCATGTATTCATTTATTTATTTCGTATGGATCGATTATCTTATTTCTCTAAATTTATTCCAGGCTCGGGCCTATCAAAGCAAAAGAAGAGGTCGCCAATTATCGGCAGAACGAACAGCGAAACGACAACGAGTTTCGCAAACAAGTAAGTATCATTCAATCAGTCTTTCAAGAAATGATAAGGTTTGAAAAAATATAATAAAAATTAAAATTAAACAGACAGACCATGTCAGTTCTTTTTCATCAAACTTGTTTGTACACACACACACACACACACACACACACACACACACACACACACACACACACACACACACACACACATATATATATGGGGATCGTGGCAAAAACAAAAAGAAATATATATATATATTAAAATGTAAGAACACAAGAAAAAATTAATAAAATACCATGATATTCCTTGTCAGGCATTTTTAATAAAACATGCATCAAAGAAGAATTGTTGCCAAAATACACAGTACATATATGCGTATGTATGTGTGTTAACTGAAGAGAGCTTGCAAAATAAATAAAGACCGAAATAATTTTGAATAGCAGGATCACACATTCCAGCAATTGCATCTGTATTCTTGTAAAATCTATAACAAACGTGGTAAAAATATCTATACTGAGTTACAGTTTCTCTTACCTGCTTTTTAATAGCATTCTTTTGTTGTTTTTTTTGTTTCAGGTTCAGCAGTACTTTGTTCGTGTCCGCCATTCGAATGTACGTGTTCACAACGAGCCAACAGTGCCAGTAGTGTTACATCCGGGCAATTCCAATCGTGGGTCGAGGCGGCAACCGACAACAGCGACTCCTACATGCCTAACTCCTATATGCCTGCCACTAGCGAATCCATGCCAGCCTACAACCAAAATACAGTAATGAATGAGTGTCGTGTATCACCTTCAATGAAAACGGAAATGTCCGACAGTAAGCAGCTTCCGGTTGGAAGTTATCCCATACAACCTCGCTTCAAAGTGACCCATTCACCTATCCGCACCCCGCTCACATCACTTAGCCGAAGTGTTGGCCACACAAACCTTAACAGAAATTTTGATTTGGACTATAGCGATAAAATCCCTGTCGAAGAGTGGACAATCACGAAAAGGCGGTCACAATGCGAGTTTGAGAGTCATTTTGATAGAAGTGTCTACTCGCCGGGCAAACAACAAGACTCGATGTTTTATCGTAACAGGCAAGTAACATACAGCACGATTTATTCAGGAGGTTTGCCAAGCCTACCGTACGATTCCTACAACACACCTCAGCAGCATCGGCCACCATCAGACGGTTTCAACCTGGGTACGAGTTGGCCCGGTCGCCATCCCCGAGGTAGTCCAAGCATGGAGTACAGTTGGGAACACTGCAGTAGTACCAGCTCTTCAAGTAAACCTATGGAAAATAGAGATTTAACAGGGAGACAAGGTGGTTATAGGGATTCTTCATCATGGTCATCTGACCACGAAAGCCGACCCTCACCCATTGCAGCTGCAACCCGCACTACCCTCGGCGACGTCTGCTGCTCATTTCCGCCCAAACACACGCCGTTGAGAGAACCAATCAAGATGGACATACATGACGATGTCAAACCGTGTCCAGCCGTCCTCGACAACTACCCGTCCAAAACTAGATTGTCGAACCCACCTGATCGCGTGCCGAGTTCGGTTTCGCCTTGTTTTCTTGAACTTAAATCTTCCACGAACGTTTTGAAAGGCGTCAGCGACTCAGAAACAAATTTGAACATGACAGACAGCGATCGTCATGACAGCCGAAAATCAGACTATCACTGGCTCCGATTTCAGGAACCGATCACCCCAACCCCAACATCGTTCGATCGGGATCCCTTCCCTTTCGATCCGATGCACACGAATAATTCAACCAAGGGTCCAAGAGCCGAAATGCAAATTCCTTGCATGCAAAACTGTGACTATGATGCCAATTTAATTCCTGTGTACGGAGACCAGGCCGGTTCCTCAACCACAAATGGTTGTAACTCGATGAAACAAAACCTTTGCAATCACAGCATCAATATCACTCTGACCTATAGCTAACTTGATTGTTATTTCACGATTTAAGTTATTTAACTATGTGTTATTTGGGGTTCCTCCAATGATTCGATAACAGAGTTAGCTGATATCGTGAGGTGCGCCAAAAGGCATTATCTGTAACTTAATCTTTGACACTCTTCATTATTTGCGGAAATCAAAAGACTTTTTCCCAGCCACAAAAGGTTGCCAGGAAAGGTTAGCATATGTTTTCCGAAAGATCGAACTCATGATCCCGTGTTAAGTGATCTGACATCTGAGCCACGCCACAATCCAATGTATTTATGCGTTCTTACACGCAAGAACCTTTTTGCGTCCGTTTCTATCTGGATGAATCTATTTGAGTTTATATTATATACAATTGGAATGCAAAAAGGTGGGTGTTGTGGCTCATTCAGTAAAGACGTTGGGTTCGTTAACAACAGATTTGTAATCAAATCCCGATTCGGTGATCTTGGTCTCTTTGACGAGTCTTTCAATATCCTGTTCATCTTTCTCGTTCGATTCTTCGTGTATCTTGAGGAGGAGAACAAGGAAAACCCAAGCGGCAATATGACCTTGTATTTATATATAAAGTAAAAGGGGAAGTCGATTATTTATAAACAATATCTGTTATCAACATTTCTTTTACTGTTTATTTATTAAGTCTGTTTGTCCGGCGAACAATATCTGGATATTTAACATTCAATTATTTGTCTATATATTTATTTTAGCTATTTTATAGAAAGAACTGACTTTCTAGCCCCAATCCCTCCCTAAAAAACAAGAAACAAAAAAAAAAAAAAAAAAAAAAAAAAACAGACGAAAATACAATTTTAATCTAATCGGAATATTAACAGAAACTACTAAAATATCGTTATCAATTATTTAATTTATACATTTTATCGAGGTCGGGTGGCCATGATAAGATTTTATCACGAATCTGAAAAATTATTTGATATTAATAATGAATGTATTAATCAAGCACAAATCCGTCAATCAAGTTGAATACTTTTAATACGCCTTGACCATAGGCTGTTTTCCATCACGAGATACGAGACATTTCCGAAAAGTAAGGTACATACATTAAACATTTTTTTATTATCTTTTAAAATCATGACTCTCCACAGTTTCTTCTTTTATGAATTGACAAGTATTCTTGGGAAAAATAGTGGAATGGAGTCCCGCTGTCTTCTCTACGGTTTGAATTCAGAGTTTTCCTTTTTATAGACTGGGAGATAGCCAAGGCTTGTGGGCCCAAACTTGATGGCGACTACATAGAAAACTAGCATACTTGTGCTGGTAACTTATGCACGAGTTAAATTCTGTATATTTGGGCCACAAATATTCTTTTAGACATGTATTGCTAAAAAACAATAGACATTTTATGTCTATTATATTTATTGATCTTTTTTTTCTAACGTACAAATATCGTACTAATCATGATGGCTTGGTAAATGTTTATATCTTGTTTTTCGGACATCTCTCGTACATCACACACATACGCCCTATCATAATGTATTTATTTAAAATTAATATAAATATACATCACCATATATATATATATATATATATATATATATATATATATATATATATATATATCCATTGAAAGATATCTTGGTAAAATATATCGTCACTGGCACGCCGGTAGATGGAGAATAGTGTGAGGAGTGAGAAATTTAGACAAACCTGCCCAGACACTTGCAGACAATAATCTGGTACCCACATAACAGAGTGTAATAATAATAATGATTATGATGATGATGTGTGTATGCTTATACGCGTGTATGTTTGTGTATAATTATGTATCAGTGTGTATATATGTAAACTGAATATAACTTATGAATTAATATTTATTGAAACAAAAGTGCCTTGATAATTTATTAAATATCGTGTTTAATATTATGGAAAGTGAAAACTACTCTTGAATGAATGAATTCAAACGAGAAACCCAGCCAAATGTCTTTATTATGACTGACTTGGTATCAAACAATGTCACAAATGCTAATTTGGGCGCCTTTTGCGGTCTTTACTCCTGGAAAAAAAATTATTAGACAATTAAAAAAATTATTTCACATGCACATAAAAAGATCTATCAGTTGCCATTTGTTCCTCTCTATCGCCTGCTTCCCTCTTCTCTCTCTCCCTCTCTCTCTATCTCAGTCTGTTCATATCTATCTATCTATCTATCTATCTATCTATCTAAAAATTACGCATATATATGAATATATATATATTTATTGTAAGCTTCTTGTTATAACCATTACTTTTAGTGTGTGTACGTATTTGGCTTACATTCTAATCACGCTGAAATAACAGTTAAGCAATGTCAAGCCAGATCAGTACTTAGATGAGGAACTGTTTGGCAACACCGGGTACTGTAAGTAAAAAAAAAAATCGGTTGGGCATGGGGCTAGCAACTTCATCCCTAAAACTTGCTAGGGAAACAACAGTAGTAAAGCCTGGGGTTTATTAAGAGCTGTGGCCTCCATACAAACTCCTGTACAGTTTGTGGGACGAAAGGAAGTGGAAGCGAATCCGAGTTGACATCTCTGTTCTTTAATTTCTTAAACAGTGAAATTAATGTCAATTATTATTATTAATTCAAGAAAATAAAACCAAAACATTTCTGTCAACTCAAATACGTGTCCCCACTAAAAATAACGTTTACAGTAATAAGAAATAATGTTGGATTAAAAAGAAATCCATTTAAATATTATTTACACATTCATATATAATTCATTACTTAGCGATTTCTGGATATAGTTTTCATTTATGAATGAATTCATTGGTTGATTAGAACGAGAAATCTTCCTTAGAAGTATAATTCAACCGGTGTCACTCAATTTGTATATATATTTTCCCATTGTAATTATTTATTTATTTTGTTAATTTAAATCCTAATTTCTTGCCGGCAATATTTTGATCGTCTGGCGAGACGGATAAATCCTGAATGTCATACAAGAAGCTCTCTCAAAATGTTTTGATACGTTTATCCGTTAAATTCATTCTATATTAAAATTCTCCCTGATCATCACAAAACAATGAGACCAGAGAAACACAAGTCCAAGAAGTGTTGATTACAACACCCCCACTTACCCCCCCCCAAGCAAAAACTAAATTAAACATTATTTACCCCATTTACGTTTCGGTTGTTGTGTCCTCTTCATCAGGATGTATGACGATTTGTATAAACTACGGGGAATAGCCTAGTGGATTAAAGCGTTTATTAGTGAATTTGGCCCGGGCAGTGTGTACTTGGACTCAGTGAAAACAAGACGAGCAATAAGTGAATAGTACTAAAAATAAGAACTTTAGATATCCTTAGGCATCAGAAATGGAACGAGAACAGTCTATCCTCGTAGATTAAATAAAGTGTTCAGTTCGGAATTATCTGTGGATTACACGAATCGACAATCAACTGATGAAGTCCAGAGGGCAAAACAGCCGAAACGTTGTGATAACAATAACAAAGGTGAGGACAATAATCCGCATGTAAATAGTGTAAATAATGATAATTCCTCATCCCAGAAATTCAGTCAGAAAAAACAAAAACAAAAACACAGTTCTCCAGCAAAATGCAATCTAAAATGATCACCTTTATCAATTTTATCGCGGTGAACAAATAGTAACACTGAGTTAAATTTAAAAAAGAATCGTCGTCCATAGCAGGTTTGATCCTTAAGTTATGGGATACAAATGTACATCTTGTTGGGGGCGAGTTCTGTATTTCCAACCCTAGCTGCTTATTTAAAATATAAAAAGCGACCTAAGCGTAGTGATGAAAATTCACTATATTCGTTTCATGAGCCCACCTCATCGACCGCAGTTGAGTTCCTTTTCTATGATAATCAATGCTAAATATGATTTTGAATTAAAAGTTTTCATTCTCCTAGACTAGTTGCCAAACTCTGCTAGAGAAATTCACCTTCCCTGCTATTTAACCTATAACTTAATTAGATAGTTTCATGCCTTTCTCAAGGGTATTTGTCCGAAAGTGAATGAAAAGAACTCAACCGCTATTTGAACTCAGCTCGCTAATTTCTCGTTCTGAGTTTCTAGCCATTACACAATCAGCACAGCCGTATTCGTTTCTAAGAACGCGAAAATTTGACGTAACACTTATCAACACGTGAAATGGAGCTGCTGAAGTGGTGGAGACTGTTTATATTTCTCTCCAATGTCCTCGGGAAAGGCATGAAACCAACTCTTCATTTCCTTCCACTTCCGGTCATCTTTATCTCTAGAATGTCATTGAATGCCAAACCCAGACAAAAAAAGCTTTAACACTTGTGTCATTCACTTTGTCATTTTATTTTTATTTAGCCTTTGTAGATAATGGTTAAAAATATCTGATTTATTCATTGTCAGCCATGACAGATAAAACTAGTTCAACTGCTTATAGGGCAGTGGGCGGTGCCGTGATTTCGAATGAATTTGGCTTAAAATAAAGGCGTACTTGGTGGCTGTCTGTTCATCCTTTCTTATCGCTGGCAGAAGAGTACTGATCTTCTAGGCTGTTAGGTAGACTTTTTTTACAGAAAAGATTGGCGCAACATTATCTTCATTTTCCATCCCGTTTAGCCTTGTGTCATAATTAATAAAATTTGATAAATATCCATATAGATTCTACAATTTCAAAATTTTGATGTCGAAGCCAAAGTAGACAGGCCATCTTGGTTTGGAAGATTGTGTTACGCCAATTTTCTTATTCCGTATTCTCCTTTATTTGGCATTTGGTTCTATTAAGTTGAACCAAATAAGTATAAGATAATTTAATATAATGTTTTTAAAATTTGAATTTAGATATAAATATAAAACATTTAAAGACATTCTACAGTTCTAGTCAAAATTTCAATGGAGTTAATAAAAAATGAGAGAATAAAAAAATAGTTTTCTTTCTTTACTTGTTAGTGTCTTCCATTTTCCTTTCATTTTTTATCCTTTGTAAAAAGAAAGAAAATTATTTCATTTTTGTTAAAGTATATTTCAGTTTTGTTTCTTTGTAAAAGAAACAAAAACGAAATTTTCAAACATTTTGGTTATTATTTTTTTTATAAATTCATTACACAATATCCGGTCTTGTTCAGGTGACATAGCAGAAATTCTCTCAAATACTGGAACGTCACATCAGACAGGCCTAAAATTTCATAAACTGACTTTGTTGATGCTGAATTTTTGCTCAAAAGTTTGTCATGTGTAAAGCCGATGTATTTTTATACAACAAATAAATTTTTTTCTTTTCTACTTTGTTTTGCATTTTTATTTGTTCATGTGATATATTCATCAACATGGCTTAATCAAAGAAAACCATTGCTGACATGATCAGAGGACACGTCTCTCATATAAACAACATGATTGAAAGTAGACACGACACGTAGCGAATTGCATGACCAACTAAGTACATGTCACCAAGTGGTAATATGGATTTACTCAGGGGCCACATATATAAGTGCGGCCAGTAAAGTATCATTCACGTAAGCGGTATGTCTTGCTTGCATTTTCTTGCAATCAGAGAATATGGGAGAACACGTGACTCTTGTTTCATCCTCATCATTATCATCGGTCCCATGACCGGGTGTGGTCGTAGGGCCGCTGCGAAACTGAGCACCTGACCAGTTTCAAACATATATCTGGGCTGCAAGCCAGAGAGATATTCATTCATGTGTAACGTATCTTGAGTAAGTAGGCCTGGCAGAGCCTGTCCCTCGCCAGCTAAATCCATTGCAGATATCCTCCAACTTGAAAGCACGCCTTGGTCACGGACCCGAGGTAGTTGATTCTATCGGGGTAACTCTTCTGCCTGGCCGTTGACTTCAGTCTACAAAACCCTCCGCTCAGCTACGTCGAGTCATTAGCGCATAGATAGCTATGGATCACAGTCTACCCCATTGTCCTAGATGGCGGTTGACCCTGCAATAAGGTTCACCCATCCTTTGACAGGTTTTTCATCTTGCTGAGTGTCTAGACATCCCCCCCCGCCCCGAAAGCCAAATAAACCACTACGCTTTCCTATAACATAAATATCCGGTCTCTCTATATTGTACTTCCTAGTGAGGCGAGGGGACGATCAACCACAGAACATCGAGTGGTGTTTTTCCTACTATTATAATACGAATAGATAAGTTCACCTATCGCCCGGTTCACACCTCTTCCCTCGTCTTTTGAACTAGAGTAGAGGTTTATTCAGCGTTCGCATCTTCCATCCTCCTTAAAAGTCCAAACCTTTCGAGCATTGATTGAACCGGTTCTATTGTATGGATCAGAAACTTGGACATTATCTGCCCGTCTTGAAAGACGAATGGATGGGACATTTACAAATCTACTTGGAAAAATCCAGAACATCAGTTGGAGATCCCATGCAACGCTTAACACAATTTACGAAGAACTGAGAACAATCTCTCTTTAGCTTAAACAAAAGCGATTGCCGTTTGCCGGTCACTGCCACCGGGTGAACAAGGAAATCGTCTCATTCTTATTCATACAGCATCCTTCTGAAAGTGTCTTCTCACAAAAATTAACTTTTCCAGACACCATATCTCAGGGCTCAGTGTTAGACATTGGGATATCAATGCAGGACTGAACAGTGTGGAAAGGGATTTTCAATGGAGTTTCAACCAATCATAGGGACGTCGAATGATGATGAGGATAATGATGATAAGGATCACTTGTCTCCTGTTTAGGATTGAGTTTCTGGCTCCTTTTCCTAAATTCGGAAGTAGGGTTGAGGAGAAAATTATATACCCGTTTCCACCGCTATTCTGTAAAAATTATATAAACTAATATTTTTGTGCAACTTCTTATTCACGGCCTCCTGACTTAAAGGTTGGTCTTTCACAAAAAGACAATCGGGCGCCGGACCGGCACCGCTTTCAAAGTTTTTTTTTAATCATTTCACTCCAAGCAAGGCAATAAAGCCACTAAGCCGCAGGTGGTTACAGAGTGTGAAAGAATACTCGGTGTAACAGCAAAATTGTCCAAATCGTGTAACAGTAAAATTGTCCAAGTGTTAGATAAACGTTGTATTTTAGAAATGATTAAAAATATCTTACTGGAATTCTCCAAGGTTTGTATAACACAATTGGATTCTACTTTGAGCAATAAGAATGTATAATTACTCTCCAAGCTTAACAGAAGAATCGTGATGAAGATGGAAGCCAGACTATGAATGTTGGTACAAATTACTGATAGCCTGAATAATCTTTT